ATGGGGCTGGGCAGGCCGGGCACACTGACAGACAGCAGCTCCTTGATGGCTCTGTAGGGTTGTCCACCACACCACCCTCTCCTGTGCAGCTCAGCAACAGCGTGGGAGTAATCCAGGTGCACTAATCCTGCTTTTGTACCCGAGGGGAGCAGCATGCTCTGCTAGCCCAACTAGAACTGCAGCTGCACCCAGAGCCAGCCCCAAGCCACAGGGCCAGGAGGCTGAGGCGATGTGCAAACCCATCCTGCTGCACAGAGCAGGGAAACGGCTCCTCCACCAGCTCAGCCGTGCCCATGACCGGGGTCACGCTCACACCACGCCAACAGCCCAACGTTTACTCAGAAAACTTTATTGTATCAAAATCCCACCTTAGAAAAGTGCAAAGAAGAGTTGCTTTAGGCACCGTGCCTGCCTCGCGGCGGGGAGAGCAGAGCCCGGCGCCCCAGCAGTGGTCAGAGGACTCGGCCATCTTCCGACACCATTGGCCTTGCCCTGCGCTGCCACGCCAGGGTGCTGGCACAGGCTGTGCATGAGGAAACGTGCTGTGGGCAGGAAGAGCCTCTGCCATTAGCAAATGACATGGACAAGTGCCCCCAGGGAGCAGGAGAGCAGCACAAGGTCCTTGCCTCCTTCCCTGGCCAGCCCCAGCTGGCTGCCTGCCTCTCATGAGTGCCATCCTGGTGCAGTGCAGGAGAGGAACCAGCTCTCAAGCACTTTCTTCCCAGATGCCACATCCTCACCCCCCTTTAAGAACTCTGCATGTGGGATAAAACATCGTGAGTTAACCAGAAACTGAGCGAAGTGACTCGTTACAAGGAACCAAGGGGGAAATTCCTTCCCCTCACACCATCTCCTGGGACATTACCACGCACCCTCCTGCTCTGTGCCCAGCTCCATGTCTCTGGTTCTAGCCGTTGCCGGTGAGGAGCCGGACCAGGACGCCCACCAGCAGCACAGCCACGGCCATGGCAGCAGCCAGCACACGGCGGGCGATCAGAGCCCTCCCCAGCCCAGCAGGAGCAGCAGCCAGCACAGAGAGCTCCTCCTGGGACATGAGCTGCTGCTCAGGGGGCTTCTCGCCTGCGGCGATGCTCTCGGGCAGGACCACAGTGTCCACGGTGTCTGTGTCCACGGAGACGTAATCTGTGTGACAGGAAGGTGAGTGCTGCGGGGAGGCTGTGCTGAAAAGTCAGAGATCCCAATGTGATGCTCCACCAGCTGTAGTGACACATCCCAAGGGGCCTCCCCAAGGCTCAGGGACACTGGGACATGCCACAGCACAGGGGCCGGTGTGCCCTGGCAGGCAGATGCTGGCTGGCAGCCCAGGCTCTTCCCTGGGGAAGGGGATGGGGGTAATGGGGTATCTCACACCCCTTTACCAAGTAGAGGAGCAGTGCCACTGGTCTGGGAAGGACAACAGACACGGTGCTCTTCCCAGCCAGCTGGGCCTGCAGGACTCAGCTGCCATGACTGTGATGGAGAGGAAGGGTAGGGTGGAGAATTTGGGCTCCCTCCCTTGTTGTCAGAGCCGGTCACATACCCACAGCAGATGTTTTGGTAGTGGCCGTGCCATTGGAGTTCACATCTTCCACTTGTTTTTTCAGTCCAGCGCGGACTTGAGCCTACAAACACACGAGTTGCTCTTCTCAGAAGTGGGTGTCCTGCCCAGCCAAGCAAACCTGAGCCTCGTCCCTCCACTCCCCCAAAGCAAGCATGCTCAGCACCAAACCGCTCCTCTGCTGCACGAGGGGGGCAGATCCTCTTTCCCTTTTGCCCCCTCCCAGAGGGCTGTGGCATTGCACTGCGAGCGGAACTCACCTAAACACCTTTTAAGAGTTACCAGAACTCACCTAAACACCTTTTAAGAGTTACCAGGGAGAAGGAGAAGCCTCACCTCTCCTGCAGCTTTCTTCCAGTCCATGCGCAGGACAAAAGCCAAGAAGGAAAGGGCTTGCAAGGAGACACAAACGATCATCCCCACCCACAGACCTGCAGCAACAGAGAGTGACCTCAGGGAGGGCTTGAGCAACGCCTGCTTTTGCCAGCCACTGCCAAAGAGCCCGAGGACTTCAGTGGGGTCAGATTATTGCCCCATATCCAACCCAGGGGCAATACTGCCTTAGGGAGAGGAAACAGCTCCTCGGAGAGGCCCTATGCTGGGAGCAAGCCTGGAGTTACTGGGGGATCTCAGCCCCTGTTTGACTGGGGTTGCTCAGAGCCTGTCTCAGCTAAACACCTCAGTGCCACCCAGCCCCACCGGAGGAGGAGCTGAGCACAAGCTCCAGGGCTGAGCCCTCGCCTCAGGCGCAGGATTTGGCCCAGCAGAGGCTGTGCTGGCAGCTCATGTGAAGCCAAGGGAGGACACACGTACCCAACACCCCCATCCGAGCTGCAAACATCAGCGAGAGGCCAATGGGCAGGCCGAGGGCGTAGTAGCCAATGGCATTAGCCACAGCACCCATCTTCTGCTTCCCCGTGCCCCGCAGCACCCCGCCACAGGTCGCCTAGGGAGAGGAGGCAGAGGGGTCAGCACACGGACAGCAGGTGCCACAGAAGGTACCAGGCAGGAGCTCTGGGGCATGGCACAGCCCTGTGGAGAGAAGAACCCTCCCGCAGGGACCAAAGCCACACCCCAGAGCGTGTGGGGCAGGGTTCCTCTCATTCCAGCTGCCGACCCAGGTCCAGAAGGTGGAGCTGTCTGCAGACACCAAGGGGCACACCAGTGGACCCCACAGTGCTTTCCACACTGCTGGGTCCTCTCCCAGGGACATGCCAGGAGGAAATGGGCTGAAATTACTATCTAACAAGCTGTATGAGCCCTGCTGCTATTCTGGGAGTAGCTGACATCCCTGAGGATCCAGCTGCTCACTTGTGCTGCTCTGACAAGCTGGTAAAAAGCTGAAGCCTTGCTGGAGAGAAAGAACTGCTCTTTTTGCAGCAATGCCAATGGGCAACTGCAAGCACAGGGGACACTGGGGAGCTTATAGTGACAGGCAGCTGCTTGAACAGTTTCTCAGTTTGCTTCTGTGTGTCATTTTAACAGCTCAGGAGTGAGCTACAGTCAGCTTTGCACTCTCCACTGCCCCCCAGCCTGCAGAGAGGAATCGCTCCACACGCTGGAATACTCACTGCTGTTGCATCAAACAAGTGGAAAGGGGCAAAGATGATCATCACTTTGGACACCAAGACAATGATCTCCCTGTGGGGAAGATGGATGGACTGGTCAGGGAATGCAGCACAGCCTGGTCCCGAGGGACTCTGGTCCTGACACATCTCCCTCAGCCAGCTGCAAAGCCTGATCCCTGCCTGTAGGAACTGAGGGGACACGTGCACCTTGGGTACCACCAGTGTCCCAGTGTCAGAAGCATCTGTGCTGCCCAGAGACACCAGGCAGCAGGGAGGAACCCTTGGGGAACATGTTTGCCAGATGGAGGTTTATGAACTTTGTTAGCAGCTTCTGAGCAGCTCCTGGAACATAAATCACTCCCTCCGAGAAGGCAGTAATACTCAAAAAGCTGTTAACCCACTTGTCGTTGGTGAAGATGTATCCCACCACGTCCTTTAGGGTTCCTAGTAATATTGTAACCACCACAGCAAAAACTCCTGAAAGAAAAAGAAACAGTCAAATTGCTTGCCTCAGGGCCAGCAAGTCCTGCTCCTGACCCAGACCTCAGGGGCTTCACTTGGAGACTGGACTTGGCCATCTTCCACAGTGATACTGCAGTAGAGGACAGGTCTGTTTTTCTCACTTTCTCCCCAGATACTCCCTCTACCTTCTGGAGGTAGAAGACAGAAGGCTAAATTGCATTTTTAACTACCAAAGCCTTTGCACCAAGTTCCTAACAGAAAATAGGCGCCAGGGTCTCACCCCCCCCTAAACAGAGGGTCCAAACGAGTGGGTCTGGGTTCCTACAGGTTGTCCCCAGCCCAGTGAGAGAGGAACTGAACCATCTGGTGGTGGTTGCCCCTTACCCCCCTGCGCAGGCTCGGGGCTGACCTGTGCACAGCAGGGCAGTGATGCAGGAGGTCTTGGCTTGCAGGGCATCCCCCGACCCCAAGGCATTGCCCACTCTGACACCTGCTGCCACGCTGAAGCCCGCAGGCACCTGAGTGGGAGAGGACAAGGAGGTGAGTGGCAACAGAGCCCACGGCCACTCTGTTCTTCCCCAGCAGGGAATCTGGGGCAAACTGGCACTGCTGCAGTAAGGGGATCTTCCACCTGCAGCCCACCCTGTGCAGCTGCACAGCAGGTCTCAGAGTCATCACCTGCCTCAGACCAGCTCCTGGTGCTCGCCCCAGCCTTCATCTGCAGGGCCACTGTTTGGAGGACCCTCCCAAGATCTGGGTTTAATACACCCAGCCCTTACCATGTATGCTACACTGGAGATCTCATAGATGACAGACTGAGCACCCAGCTCCACCACGCTGAGCAGCCCTGGAAAAGATTCACCAGTATCTCCGTGAGGTCAGAATTAAACCTCCTCCTTTGCTGCCAGTGAGGCAGTGGCTGCAGGGTTCCCATCCAACAGAGGCAGCATCCTGCAGAACCAACCCTGCAGGCGAGGAGGCTGCTGGCAGGAGCTGTTCTGGGCACACACACAAGAGGCAGCCACCAGAGCATGTATGGCTGGAAGATGACCTGTTGAACTAGAGGGAAAAGAGCACTTGGACTCACCTGCCAGGAAGCTCCCAATCTCAAAGGTCCACCATTCAATACACATCATGAGCATGCCAGGCACTGCCAGATGGATAAAGGAGCCCCAGTCCAGGAGGCAGTCCCTGGTCCAACCTGCAGTGAAGAGGTGAAGCAAAATGAAAGCATGTTCTCCCTTTCCATCCCCAAAGAAGGCAGAAGATCTGGATGCTTTTAGAGGACAATCACCCCCACAGCTCAAGGGACATCAGCCTAGTCTTGCTGTTGTACTGTGCTGCATTCCTGAGACAGGATGATCAACAAGAATGTACTTGGATCTACAGTAAAGCCCTTGAGGATGTGACTACAGCATCTGCCCACCTTGTCAGGTGCTCCTGATAGTGCCACACCCCCGGGCCCAAACACTGGTATTTGAAAGATAAAGCCATGAACAGTACCTCCCCAGGTCTCCACATGGATCTTCTTCCACCACACATAAAGGAAGAGGAGAATGGCCTGGGTGTACTGAGAAATGGTGTTAGCCCAGGCAGAGCCCCTGAGGAGAGAGACAGGCAGATGACAAATGACATCCTCCCCACTTGCCTCAGCTACAGCAGGACAGACCTGGTGGCACCCACACAAGCCTTGCTGCAGATGTGGGGCAGATCCCTCCAGCCTTATCTTTGCAGGCTAGTTGGCTGAGGGTGGCAGAAAGGGGCACCCAGGACATCCCCCAGCCCTGAGCAACCCCCTGCACCCATGGAGAAGCTGCCAGCAGCTCTGCTCACACTTACACCATGCCCAGCTTCAGTGCATACAGGAAGAAGGCGTTCATGGCCACGTTGAGGATGTTGGCTGCAATCCCTGTCAACACTTGAGGCAAAATGATTGCCTGCAAACCAAGGAGACACTCTGGAGTTTGCTTCCCCAGCACTGCCCAAGCCCCATCCAGCAAACACAAGGGACCCCTTCTTCAGTACCCAAGGAGAAAGCCACAAAGGCAGCTCCTGTTTCAGGTAAAGCTGGATTGTGTTAGACCTGCAGAAGGCAGTGTGAGGGCTCAAGAGCTGGTCCAAGCAACTCAGTGCAGAGTTGGGGGGTAGCAATGGGGAAATGGAGCAAACTGAGGGTGGTTTCCATGAGCTCCCCCTGCCCTGCAGGGCTGGCTGGGGGCCCTGCATCATAGAGCTTTCCCCAGGAAGGATAAACTTGGATCCCCAACTTTTTATCCATGTTCCTAGGAACAGCTTTCATCTACAGCCCAGAACCTGGCCAGTTATACAGTACCTGACTTAGCAAATATCTTGTCTGCAGCTGGTAGAGAAAGGCCGCCTGCAAAAGTCAGGATTCATTCCATGAGCACTGCTGCACTGTGGTCCAACAGCCAGCTCCCCTGCAGCACCCCCTGCCAGGTCCTCCCCCCACCTCCCTGCACTGCCCCCCCAGGGTGTCCCAGCACCCTGCTCCTGGGGGCTGCTGGAAGCACTGGCTGCACCCAAAGACAAGAGAAATAAAAGGCACCTCCCGTTCCCACTGGGAAGAGAGATCAGTCTCCAAATGGGAAATCTCCTACGCTTCCTCATCCAAATGAGAGAGCCTGGAAACCTTGGAAGGTTAACCTACAGCCCCTTGTTCTGCAGGGGTGCTGGTCTCTGTCTGAGAGGGGTCTAGAGCCCAGCAGCTCTGAGAGTGTGAACAGTGAGCTGCAGCCTTTATCTCAGAGTGAGCCCTGGAGCCCCTGGTTCCAACGTCCACCTCCAGGTATGTCTGTTGGAGACGTGGCCTGCAGTAAAAGCCTTTGCACACTGAGATGGAAGAGTGTGTGTTTGCTGGTCCAGCAGCTGCTGCCCAGCACACATCTGTTAAGGCCCAAGGTCAAGGGGCATGTGGCAAAACCCTAAATCATTCTGCCCTGTGATCCACACAGCAAAGACCCTCCCTCCTTTCCCTTGATGTTGCTGAGGGATAGAATCATAGAATCACAGAATGTTTGGGTTGGAAGGGACCTCCAAAGGTCATCTAGCCCAACCCCCCTGCCATAAGCAGGGGCATCTCCAACTAGATCAAGCTGCTCAGAGCCTCACAGAGAGCTCCTAAAGTCAACTTACAGGAAGTGCTGGAATAAAGATCATCACATAGACCTGAGTTAACCTGGAAAGAGAGTTGTTTCCCCAGTTAGTGGAACAGCAAAGCAAGAGCCAAGCCAAGCAGCGTTGCACCCAAGCTCCACAGAGCCTGGATTTCAACGCCACGTGGCAACCCAGCCAAATGGCTGATCCAGAAGGGCAGGATCTCAGCCCTGACCTGGAGACCTCGGGGTCCTGTCGGATGAGCAGGAGGATCTGCTCGGTGTTGATGAAGAGCGCCCAGCAAGGGAAGCAGCACAGCAGCAGGATGAGGATCCCCCGCTGCAGGATGGTGCCCACCTGCTTCAGGTTCTTGCCACCATATGTCTGAGGTGGGAGAGAGGACCAAGGTGAGCGTTACAGGGAACCAAAGGGTCTGGACAGTTACTCAGGCCCCAGGGCAGCAATGGGCTGATTAAGCCAGTTTCCCATGCCCTGCCGTGGCTGGTGCCAGGCTGGTTGGGTACAGGTGGCTCTCGGGTGGGTTGCACAGCCCTTTGTTACCCAGGCATGGCCCAGAGCTCCTCAGGGAGTTGCAGTCAGGGAGAAGGCTCCAGCCAGTGCATCTGCAGCCCCGTGCTGGCTGGAAGCTGCTATCCTCCCACCCTTTGCACCCAGGTCCCACTGCAGAGGAGGTGAGACAATACCAATGGAACCCTGCCAGGCACAAGCACGGGGGAGCTGCTACTGACCTGGGACATCAGCGTGTCACATGCTGAGGCTAAACCAGAGCCAATGGAGATGCCTGTTACATTGATAACCTGAAGGAGAAACAAGAGATTTGAGTTGCAAGGGAGGGTGACAGGGGACCTTGCCTAAAACAGTGTCCCTCCCAGCTGGCTGGGAGACAGTTCTGCTACAGGTTTTTGGGAAGTTTCCAGCCCTTCTCTGTTTCTCAGAATAACACATTCTTGTTGCCTCAACAGCCTCTTCTCTCCTCTGGTGTGGAAAAGGATCCTCTAGCAAGGGCTGAATATCTCAAGGACCACAAACAGTGCTGCCCCTAGACACAGGGGCACCCCAAAACAGACAAGTCCAGAGAGCTGGTCACAGGCTCCAGCTCCCGGGGTGCTGACCCTGCACCAGCACAGTCACTGACTGCTCAGATCCCATCCCCTGCCTGTGCTCAGGGCCAAAGAAACAACACTTTGGTGGATGTGTGTTCATGTTGCACGAGGCTATGCTTACACACAGGGTCCTCACAAAGACATCCCTACAGGTTTGGGTTGTTTTCTTTTTTTTATTTTGGTGATTGTCCTGGTTTGGGGTAGAACAGAGCTAATTCTGTTCAGTGATTTTAATTTTCAGCTAAAGCTCTTCTGATTAACTGCACTTTGGGAAGCCAGCAGCATATTTTCACAGACAGTGTCTGCTTCTAGCAGTGATAACACTCCATGTTTGGAGTTACTGCCAGGGAGTGGCATGTAGACCAAGGTCACTGCTAAGCTTGTGTACCACACAGAGGGGACAGAAAGTACAAAAGCTGCAGCTGCAGGGAGGAGTGGACAAGACAAGTGGCCCTAAATTCACCAGTGGAGTATTCCATCCCATATCCATCATATTCAGTATAAAAGCTGAAGGATCACAAGGGTCAAGCCCTTCCACCTACCTTCTTCCTTTTGCTGCTCCTTCAGTGGCCAGCATCCCAGGAGGATTCCATCCATTCTGCCTTTGATCTCCAGCTCTGTGTTCCTGGACCCAGTTCCAGAATCGAGCTCCTGTACCCAGCTGCCATCTGCTGCTGAGTCCAGCCTGGGACTTTTCCCCAGGGGCTGCTCCCCAGCTGGGGGTGATGGTGACATATTGCCATCGGGGGGGAGTTGGGTTTGATATCCATTTTGTATATACTTGTATATATGCCATTTTATTAGTAGTATTAGTATTTTCATTAAAGCTGTTTTACTTTTCTAATTGATAAGTCTCCCTTATTCCCTTTCTCTCTCCCTTCCAGGGGCAGGGGGAGAGGGGTTAACAGAGAGTGTCTGTTAGAGGTCTGGGGCAGCTCTAACCCTAAACAGTGACATGTAATTTGTGTGTTTTCAACCAGAGAGGAATCAGAGTGATACCCACCGACACGGCCAGCGTCACAGCATCCAGCTCAGCTTTGCCCAGGTGGCCACAGAAGATGGAGCTGACCACACTGATCAGGAGCCCCAGCAGCTGGGCGACAAACTAGGATGGGAAGAGAAGGAGATGGGGAGAGGAGGATGCATTAGGACTTGAGGAACACCACCCTTCCCCCAGGAGCTGGGCTATGAACAGCTGGGTTTCCTGGTGTCACCCCAGTGCCTCGGCTGGGGGCCAGGGCTCTGCTGTCCTGGCAAACTGTCCCTGCTCACCAGTGACTGCTGAGCCAGAGGAGCCAGCTCTAAGACTTGTGCAGGCTCTCAGTGGCTTTGCCTGTCAGGGCAGACCTCTACCTGACCTGTGGTATTTTGGTGTCACACAGCCAGTCTGACAGATGCCCTTGTTTATGCGGGGCTTAAGGGCTCCACTAGAAATCCTCTTTTCCAGGGTGAAAGGTGCATAGAAAAAAAAAAAAAAAACCAAAATAAAAAAAACCCAATGCTATTCCACACTTCTGTGCATCTGAAGGAAACACTGCAATGCCCTCTCCTCCTGCAGAGACGCCGGGTCCAGCCTGCTCCTCCCTCAGCAGGGGCTCCAGCAAGGCCAAGGATGCTGCAGCAGATTGCACTCCAGACCACGTTTTCCCTTGGCAAGCGCATGGCCCCTCTACAGGCACCCGAGGCACGGAGTCATGGCACAGCTAGAACCAGATGGTAGGAGTTAGAGATGTTTATACCCGCTGAGAGGGGTGAGCATGGCTGGAAACCATGCCCAGGGTCTGCTCACTCTCTACCCAGCATTTGGCAAGCCAAGAGCCCAGCGCTGCTGAAGAACAAGCTCCTGAAGGGTCAGAGGAAGAACAGAACAACACCTCCTCCTCTCCAGACCTCCCACTGCTGCCTGCAGATGCAGGTCTCCTGCCAGGCCCAGGCACGTTCGACCTGCTGCTGTGAGTAATCCCCACAGGAGGGGTCTGTACCTCCACCATTGTTCTAGCACAGGGTTTGACATGAAAAGGACATGAACTAATGACAGCTGTAGGTTTGGGTTTGAGGTTATCTGTGCACACAGGGAAACAGGCTGTGACACAACTAAGGCTTTGGGGACTGTGCTGAGGTGCTCAACTCCAGAAACTGAAACCCATCTGTACTTCCTCTGCTGCCTAATCACAGCAGGCCAGTGCTTTGATGTCAGGGAGGACGTCTCTGAGAAGTTGGTACTTATTTACCACATAGAGTAGAAGACTGAAAGCACAAAACTTCACATGCAGTGGATTGAGACCAGGGCAGTGGTGTATGTTTCCCTTTGCAGAAGCCTCTACCAAAGGTGCTCGGTGCTGCACCATTGGCCCCTGACTACCCAAGGCTGCATCTCCTTCCCGACTAACAGCAGTCCAGGGTGGATTTCGAGACAGGGAGCCACGGGCTACCTTTGCTCCCCGAGTCTGCCGGAAGGGCTGGCCAAGGAGCTGGCACCAAGCGAAGCCATTTGCCTGTTCCCCAAGGGGCACGTGGCAGTGCCAGGGCTGCAGCCTGGCTTCCCGGAGCACTTTAGCAGCGTGCCCCCCTTCCCCC